TGGAGAATTTAAGCTAATTTTAATATTGCACCGAAATGAAGGTTTATTTGAGATAAATTAATTAAATATTTCAATCCATTCGTGTTATTCATAATTTAAGAAAAGATATCTGATTGTTGATCGGGAGTAAAAGGAAAGACCATTTCATGTTTAAAAAAGTGAAGTGAGTTTTCAGGTATTGTGATGAACAAACCTTATTAACAGTTAATTCAAAACGCCTGAAAATAAGAAATAACAGATAATAATAATAATGTTATTCATGGTTTATTAGAACGTAATTACTATAAAAAAACAAAAAAAGCTATTTCATACTTACTTGCTCAAATTAATACAAGAAACAGCAAAACTTGATAACTGATACATTACAAAATTCACCAGATGAAAAATCTTTTTCACTGTCTCACAGCGAATGATTTTTTGACTTAGAAAATTTTCTCATTTCCTTACCTACCATAACCAAGGCACATTATTGAGAAATTCTTCAAGATCTTGTTTTTGTCATCTTACTCCTTTTAATGAAGATAAGGAACATTGATAGGGAAATAAATTTGAACGAAAAAGTTTCGTAAAGAGCGCGAACGGTAGTGTGATGTAAAATTACTCATGCTAGAAATTTTCATAAAAGTGGCCCGATAAACGGCGCTAACTTGGTAACTCGTGGCCGGATTTTAACGAAACTTATTTTATTCTGTTTCGGCCCCCCGTTGGCACAGCGGTATGTCTGCGGACTTCCAACGCTAAAATCCGGGTTTTGATACCCGTGGTGGGCAGAGCACAGATAGCCAATTGTGTAGCTTTGTGTTTAATTACAAACAAACAATTATTCTGTTTCTATTCTCATTTCAGGGGTACCGTATTCTTACAAGTATGGCTCTATTGTGTGCCGTTTTTGCTGTATTTAATTACAGACAAGCAAACAAACAATCTCAGAGTTTTAGTGGTATATATATAGATAGATAAATAGATGTATGCGATACTTTCGTAAGTCAGCACAACACCTAAATGCTTCATTCAATGGCATGTTTGTTTCTAATTAATGCTTCACAAAGTAAAACACCTTATGAAAATTACATTACAGTGTCAAATTCATTTTCAATGATCAACGTAGTTGGAAAAAGTATTTTAATGTAACTATGGTTTACATACCACACACTGTACGTTACATTAGCTTGTATGTTGTTTAATAATAAACATCTTAAAGTTATTGTGCTTACGTTACCATATTTTGACGAAATAGGGAAATAGATTTGAACGAAGAAGTTTCGTAAAGAGCGCGAACTGTAGTGTGATGTAAAATTGTATGTTTGTTTTTAAGTTAAGCACAAAGTTACACAATGGGCTATCTGTGCTCTGCCCACCACGAGTATCGAAACCCCGGATTCTAGCGTTGTAAGTCCGCAGACATGCCACTGTGCTACTGGGGGGCTGGTGTAAAATTACTCATGCTAGAAATTTTCCTAAAAGTGATCCGAAAAACGGCGCTAACTCGGTAACCCGTGGACTGATTTTAACGAAACTTGTTTTATTCTGTTTCTTCTCCCATTTCTCATATTCTTTTTATATTTATATTCTCATATTGTGTTCCGTTTTTGCTGTATTTAATTACAGACAAGCACACAAACAAACAATCTCAGAATGGCTGGAGACGGCTTGAATGGGTAATGAAGAAAAACTTATATTAAAGTTTTTCTTCATTACCCATTCAAGCCTTCTCCAGCCATTATTAGTCTCAAAGTGGGTTCCTCGTAATCGAAAAACAATCTCAGAGTTTTAGTAGTATATAGATTTACTGGTTATCAGTAAAACAATTTAATCTGCCGTTTTTTATGTTGTTGTTGTTTTAATCTGGGCCTAAAGATTTCATTGTTATCGTATTACAAGGATATGTATAATGTTAAACGTTTCTTTGTCCAGTTAAAAAATCATTGCTATAGCATCGCCACTAATTTAAGCAATAATAGATCAAAAGTGCTATAAATACAGCAGCTTTCCGACGTGTTTAAAAATGTGCTATTGTAAGTTGCTGTTGTAGTATATTAGTACAGTATATTATCATATATATATGATTTAGTCCTGTAATTTACTATTTGAGGTCAATATGTATGTGTGTGGGAGGGGGTCGAAGTTATCTTGTGTGGGAAGTCAGTTCTTTATTATAATTTAAATAGTTGTTAAGCTTACCCTTAAATTTACTGCTTCCACCTAATCTAAAGACGACCCATTCCAAAAAAGGGAGGAAGCCACCAATAGATTCTATAGACCATCAGCCCCCCAAAAAATTCCCCCAGTGAAAAGACAGCAAGTGTTGATAATGGGCAAGAGGTTATCCCATTTTGCCGCCAAAAAAAAAAAACCCACAAAAAATATTTAGTGAGTGAATAGTTGCACTCCCACTTTGCAACATCTTCCTACCAACACTGTGTTGCGTCAT